AAAAAAAAAAAGCTTAGTATAAGTTATTGTATTTCATTGAAATAGAAATGGACCCTTGGAGCCTTGAGCAAAGCAGCAGCCCCATAAGAAAGATGTAGACTTAAAAAGAAAGGTTTCCAATAAAAATATGATATGATTCTTCTTCTTTAATTAGAATTTTTATGTTATACTTAGTTAAAAATATCTTTTAAATTTATTTATAAGTATTTTTTCTATATGTCCACTAAGGATACATAAAAGGAAGCTGTAAACAAAATGAATTAGTCAAAATATTCCAAAAACTATTCTATATTCAGCATTTAATTCAGTCTGAATGATTTATTTACTCCCAGTAATTAAAATCTGGTGATTTTCCATTCATTATGCATTCCAAATTCAATGGCTTAAAACAGTAAGCTTTTATTGTTGCTCACATGTCTGTGAGTCAGCTGGAGGTTCTGCTGATCTGTCACCTATTGCTTCCAGGGGGCTTGCTCATATTCTCCAAAATATTGGTGGAAAATAGAATTAAAAGGTAGGTTTTTTGTTGCCAAAACAATTAAATCCATGCATATAAAACATCTTCACAAAGTTCATAAGATATGCATATTATGAAAAACTGCATGGATTTTCAATTTTTTTTCCTAAAAATTTTCAAATATTTTATTTACAAGATACCATGTGATGTTTTAATACTTGTATACATTCAGCACTCTAAAGTCATGTAAAATATATCTATTTCCTTAAACATTTATCATTTCTTTATGGATAAAATATTCAAATTCTATCTTCTAGCTGTTTTTTATAATAGTGAAATATACAAGACACTATCTATGGTCATCCTACTGTGCAATAGAATTCCACAACTTCTTCCTCCTCTCTATTTATGACTTATTACCCAATAAACCTTTTCCGATCTCTCCTCCTCTCCCTTGCCCACTGTCTAATAACCCCTCTTTTGTTTTTTCCTTTAATGTTTATTTATTTTTTCATCTACTTGAAAACAGCATGACAGAGACAGAAATAATGAGAGAAACAGAGAGAAATGAAGAGAGAGACAGAGAACTTCCATCCACTGGTCACTCCTCAAATGCCCACTACAAGCAGGGCTGGGCCAGGCCGAAGCCAGAAGCCTAGAATTCCATCTGGGTCACCCACATGAGTGACAGAGGCCAAAATACTTGAACCATTATCCACTGTCTCCCAGGACATATTACCAGGAAGGTGAATCAGAGGCAGAGCCACTAGGACTCTAACCAGCACTCTGATACGTAGTGTAGGCATCCCAAGTGGTGGTTTAACCAAATTTATCACAATGCCTCTTCTTCCCATTCTACTTTAAATTTCCATGAAATCACTTCTTTAAGACTCCATATATGAGTGAAATCATGCAGCACTTGTTATTGCAAATGACAATATTTCATTCATTTTATAGCTGAGTTTTATTCCATTGCTTATATATATATCACATTTATTTCTTCATTCATCATTGGTTAGATGTTTAGGTTGATTCCATTTCTTGGCAGTGGAATGCGAATAGTGCTGCAATAAACACCGAGAACAGATGTCTCTTCAATAGTTTGGTTTTGCTTTCCTTAGATATATATCCATGAGTGGGACTGCTGAATTATAGAGTAGTTCTATTTTAGTTTCTTGAGGCATCTGTATACTATTTTTCACAATGAATGTATTAATTTATATTCCCACCAACAGTATACAAGTGTTTCCTTTTCTGCACATTTTCACAAGCATTTGTTATCTCTTGTCTTTTTTAAAATAAAAAAACTTTATGAATTTTTATTTATTTTTATTTGAAAAACAAAGGCAGAGAAACACAGATGGAAATACAGAGATCTGACAGAGAGAGATCTCCCATCCTCTGGTTCACTCCTCAAATGCCCACCACAGACAAGACTGGGCCAAGTTGAAGCTAAGAGCCTGACACTTAATCTAGTTCTCCCACATGGGTATCAGGGACTCAACTACTTGAGCCATCACCTGCTGCCTCCTATGGGGCACTTTAGCAAGGAGTTGGAATGAGAAACCCAGCTAGGACTTGGACCCAGGCACTTCAATAAAGAATGTTCATTTCAACTGGCATCTTAACTGCTACACCAAATATCTTCCCCGATAATAGCCGATCTAACTCATGTGAACTGATATATCATTAGGTTTTGATGTGCCTTTTCCTGATAATTAGTGATTTTTAACTTTTAAACAATGATTTAGGGGCCAGCACTGTGGCACAGCGGGTTAATGCCCTGGCCTGAAGCACCAGCATCCCATGTGGGCACCAGTTCAAGCCCTGGCTGCTTCACTTCCTATCCAGCTCTCTGCTATGACCTGGGAAAGCAGTAGAAGATGACCCAAGTCCTTGGGCCCCTGCACCCATGTGGGAGACCCAGAGGAAGCTCCTGGCTCCTGGCTTCAGATCAGCACAGCTCCAGCCATTGAGGCCATCTGGGGAGTGAACCAGTGAACCATCGGATGGAAGACTTCTCTCTCTTTCTCTCTCTGCCTCTTCTCTCTCTGTGTAACTCTGACTTTCAAGTAAAATAAATAAATCGTTTTAGAAAACCATATGTTCTCCCTGATTGGTGACAACTAACCAAACATCAAATAGGAAAACTGGTGAAGTGAAATGGACACTAGCAGAAACAATGACTTGATCAGCCCTTGTCCTGACTGTTGATGTACAATTTAATACTTTATCCCTTTTAGTATTTTTTGTTTGTTTGTTCTACTTAATACTTTTGGTTGAATACTGTAATCAATACACAGTTATTCTTAGGTGTTTAAAGTTAACTGAAAAAGTGATCTCTGTTAAATATAAGAGTGGAAATAAGAAAGGGAGGGGATGTATAATTTGGGACATTCTCAAGCTGACTTGCCCCAAGTGGTGGAGTTAGAAATGTGCCAGGCGATTCCAATACAATCCCATCAAGGTGGCATGTACGAATGCCATCTCACTAGTCCAAGTGATCAATTTCAGGTCACAATAGACCATAATGATAGGTCTAAGAGTCAAAGGGATCACATAAACAAGACTAGTGTCTGATAATACTAACTGATAGAATCAAAAAGGGAGAGAACGATCCAACATGGGAAGCAGGATACACAGCAGACTCATAGAATAGCAATTGTCCTAAACAGCACTCTGGACTCAGAATCATCCCTTAAGGCATTCAGATCTGGCTGAAGAGCCCATGAGAGTATTTTAGGCATGGAAAGCCAAGATACTCTGGGAAAAAAAAAAAAAAAAAGAGGACCTAAATGAAAGATCTCTGTGAGTGAGATCCCAGTGGAAAGAATGGGCCATCAGAGAAGGAGGTACCTTTCTCTGAAGGGAGGAGAGAACTTTCACTTTGACTATGGCCTTGTCAAAATAAGATCAAAGACGGCAAGCTCAGGGGGCTTCCATGCCTTGGCACTCATGACTAGAGCCTGG